CCCAAAGTGCTGGGATTATATGCTTGAGCCACGGCACCTGGCCTGAGAACAGTTTTATTGTTAGACCCAGAGAGGGTGAATAATTCCCTCAAGATCCTACAGTACCTTAGAAGAGCCGAGATGCAGGTGGGAGAGGCTGGTGCTGGACTGTGCTCTGAGTCATTGCCCTCTGTAGCCCCTCTGGTCTTTCAGATGTAATTATCAGAAAAGGTTCCAGAGAGGCAGCTTTTCTTCCCTGCAAGGAGCATCAAAAGCGCCTTTACTTACAGTGACCCAGTTGTTGGGTTTTCTCCTTTCTCTGCCTTTCACAGATGTTCCCAAAGAGATGCGAGCACATGCTCCCTGCTCCCTTCAAAATTCTTCAGATGGTGGTGAATTTGCTGATTGATGGAGCTACTCTTCTGATTTCCCTTGGCAACCACCTTAAGATTTAAAACACAATTTATAAAGTCATCACTTTCAAGTTTGAACTGAAAGTCAAATTGTATTTTATCCTACTTCCTTATGGCTCAACTTGCTAAGGAGACAGTTTTCTACTTTTCTTCCTCCCACAGTAGCACTTGTGAGCAAACAGTACATTTTTTAAATACATTGAGTTTTTTAAAATTGTGTCATAAATGTTTCTGTGTATCTGAAATAATATAATTGCATTTCTGTCGAGTTTTCTTTTTTTTTTTTGAGTCGGAGTCTCACTCTGTCGCCCAGACTGGAGTGCAGTAGCCGCTCCCGGCCACCGCAGCCTCGACCTGCTGGGCTCCGGCAATCCTTCCACCTCAGCCTTCCAAGTAGCTGGAACTACAGGCGCACACTACCACGCCCAGCTAATTTTTGATTTATTGTAGAGATGAGGTCTCGCCAAGTTGCCCAGGCGGGTCTAGAACCCATGGGCTCAGGCAATCCACTCACCTCAGCCTCCCAAAATGCGGAATTACAGGCTGAGCCACCGAGCCTGGCCAAGTTTTCTTTTTAAAAACAATTCGACTCCACCTCTCCTGTGTCCTACAGGGTCTCCTCCCTGCTGTAGTGAACACCCTTTAGCTTGACCCCTTACCTCTGCAGCTACCAGCTCCCCCTCTCAATTCAATATCCGGTGAGAGGCAGGGAGGGTCAGCTTTGGTCAGCCCACCTACTGCCCCTGTGTCCTCTTTTACCAGGCACCAGGCACTGCTGTTGTGCAGAGTGGACATAACTGGCGCAGGCACAGACCCACAGGCCTGCGTCATCCTGCCCAGCCACACCCAGCGCTCCCCTCCTGCCCCAGGAGTGTAGGTTGCTCAGCACAGGGGCGTTTGGGGTGAAGAGAACCAGCAAGGGGTGCCAGAGGCCAGACTGTATGTGGATGGTCTTCACATTAAGATAGGTTTTTTTTTTAACCTTTATTTTAAACTTTATTGCCAGGCTTCTTCAACTTAATTAGCTGTATACAAGCAAAAACCTGAAAAGAGCCACAGCATCCAAGGGCCTTGATCATAAAAATATTAGAGATCTAGATTTTGTCAGGCTAATAAAAAGTTGTTAAAAGTGGTCGTGATATAAAATAGCAGCTCCCAGGACTTCTTCAGAAGTTGACTCCATCCAGTTTGCCCCCTTCTTGAAGCCCCTTAAGAATTCCCCACAAGGTCTGAAACTTCGCCATCATCCTCTCCAGGAGCAAGTGGTGCTTTTCCATCCACAGATGGTTGTGCACATGACAGTCTGAACCACACTGGTTGGAGAGGCTGGTTAGAGTTAGGGTTAGAGTCAGCTGCTGTGTCTCAGTGTGGCTGTGATAGTGGCAGTGTCCACTGCCCAAGATACTACACTGTAGGGTCATTAAAATGAGTCACTGCCCCTTGGTTTGTAGACATAGTCACCTCTTCAATACCAGAGACAGCATTGACCCCTAAACTCTTTAGGAAGGACTGAATTTTTTTTATCTTCTGCTATATCATCTTCTTCCTGCAAACAGTTGCTTTCCCACCAATGCACATGTGCCTGCAGTTTAGTGACTGTCTCCTGGTTCATGAGAGTTTCTTTCATCTTATTCAGGCACCTGCAGGGAGACTAGGTTGACACTCGGGCAGGCACAAGGGGATGCAAGATGGCAGCAAGAGTTTAGGAGGCTTTTTCAGGTATATATTTTAGAGAAAATGGTTCTGTCCTTTCAAATACTTTACATAAAATATATATAATATAAATCTGTATATATTATATAATATACATCTAATATATAATATGAACCTATTATATACTTATGAACATATTATATATATATTCTTTATACATTACTACAGACTGAATGTGTGTGTCCCTCCCAAATTAATATGTTGAAAACCAACCCCCAAGGTGACAGTATTAGGAGGTGGGGTCTTTGAGAGGTGATTAGGTCATAAAGGTAGAATCTTCTGAGTGGGATTAGTACTCTTATAAAAGAGACCCCAGAGAGCTCCCTCACCCCTTCGGCTATGTAAGGACACAAGGTACCTCCGTGGACCAAATACCAAATCTACCATATCTTGGTCTTGGACTTGCACCCTTCAACATTGTGAGAAATAAACTTCTGTTGTTTAGAAGTTACTCAGAATCTGGTATTTTGTTACAGCAACCAGAATGGACTAAGACACACACATAATATATTATAATAATTATAATTATAATAATATGGCCTGGCACAGTGGCTCATACCTGTAATCTCTGCACTTTTGGGAGGCCAAAGTGGGAGGATCACTTGAGGCCAGTAGTTTGAGACCCATATCTACAAAAAAAATTTTTTAATTAACCAGGGCTAGAGAATGAGGTGGGATAATCCCTTGAGCCTAGGATTGTGAGGCTGTAATAAACTGTGACTGAGCCACTATACTCCAGCCTGGGTGATCAAGTGAGACCCTGTCTCTTAAAAAAAAAATGCGTGCACACACACACACACACACACACACACACACACACACACACATATATATAGACATAAATATATATACATATATGTTATTTTTATTCATCTTTGATTAAGGGCAAAAACTTTATATGAGGTTTGTCAGTGAAGAAGCAGGTTATTTTATTTCCTTTAGTTTTGTTGACCCATACAGAAATCCATTGCCCATGAAACTCCTACAGCTCTTCAGATGATTTGAGTGGTTAATTTTGGTCATAGCAGGCTTTTTATTTTACTCTTCATTCATAATCATTTATATTTCTGAGAGTTCAATTTTGTAGTTTGTTTTTTCTTAGGTGGATTTGACCTTCCATGGTCTTAAACTCTTTTTAGCATACTGTGTAGTTTAGAATCCAGCACTCAGGCACCACAGGGCACGTCTCTGACCTTAATCCTTTGCTGATGGGGAGGCTTCCACATGACTTGTGTTCTGGGCCTCAGTTGGCAAAGAGGACAGACTGATGTTCTCCTAGCACTATGGAGCAAAAATGCTCAGGGGCCCACAGTTTTGTTTTGTTTACTTCTTAGAAATGGGGTCTATCCCTTTTGCCCAGGCTGGAATGCAGTGGTATGATCACAGCTCACTGCAGCCTCAGACTCCTAGGCTTATATGATCGTCCCACCTTGGCCTCCAAAGAATCTGAGACTACAGGTAAACGCCACCGTGCCTGGCTAAATGTTTGATTTTGTAAAGATGGGGTCTCACTATATTTTCCAGGCTGGTCTCTAACTCCAGGCCTCAGCTGGTCTCCTACCTTGACTTCCCAAAGTACTGAGATTATAGATGTGAGCCATTGTGCCTAGCCTGGGTCCACAGCTTTGAATGTGCCTGCCCAGTTGGCAGCCAGGCAGGAGGGCCGGGGGTTCCAGGACCCCATGCTTGGCTTCTCAGTCTGTCTATGGAGCTGGTACTTCTGCCTGAAGCTAGCTGCTGATGGCCATGTCTTGGAGAGAGAGCCTCATAGAGATATTGGTATAAAATGCCTAGGTCATCATAAACAATCCTGAGGTTTTCTCTGCCAAACTGTTTTCACTTTATTCGGGTTGTGTGTTTCAACCTCTTGCAACTAATAATTAATTAATTACCCTCCCCCGAATATGACTCAGCCAAGTTTGCTCATGAATTTGAATCAACTGGTGTGTCATTTATATGGTGACTCGTGACAGGACTGGCATTTTGTTGGATTAAAAATAAAAGCCAAAACAAATTTATAGAGGTAGAATCATAAATATACCCACTAAACTCTAGATGACCCTAGTACATGAGGCTAGAAGCTATCGTCTTAATAGGAAATACTAAGTTGATAAGTATGAAGAGTATGAAATTCTCTCTTAGATTAGTAAAATCCATCTGGAAATAAAGTCCATTTCTTCCAGTCTAGAATGCTGTGCATGTTTTAGAAGAGAGACTGCTGCCGCACTGCTGTGGGTTTAAATAGTGGCATGATAGTTTAAAGTTAGAGAGATACAAAAGCAGCATTGTCAGACCTGAGATCATCATGGGATGTAGAAGGAGTCCACAAAGGAGGGCTCTCAATGCCCTTGACCTCTGACCTCTGAGTGTTCTTCTCCCTAGCACTGGATGGGGTGGGGATGGGCCTGAAGGGGAGTAGGGGGCTTCAAGAGTTGCTGAGTGAAATGGCTTTTGAATGGTGTGTTCATTTCCTAAGGCTGCTGTGACAATTTACAGCAACAGATTTATTCTCTCATAGTTCTGGAGGACAGATGTCCAGAATCCAGGTGTGGGCAGGGTCACCCTCCCTCTGAAGGTTCTGAGCAGGGATCCCTCCTTGCCTTCTTAAGTTTCTGGGGTGTTGTGGCAGTTCTTGGCATTCTGTGGCCTGTGGCAGCATCACTGTAGTCTCTGCCTCTATTATCACATGGCCTGTTTGTCTGTGACCCCAAATCGTCCTGTCCTTATGAGGACATCAGCCATTGGATTTAGGGCCCTCCTAATTCAGTATGACCTCATCTTGACTTGATTGCATCTGTGAAGACCCTATTTCCACATAAGGTTACGTTCTGAAGTTCTAGGTGGACATGATTTTGAGGGGATGCTTCAACCCAGTACAGATGGTGACAACCCAAGATGGACAGTTTCCTTCACATAAAGGAAGAACTGGAGCCCCATGGGATCCCCTCCTCCTGCAGCTTCAGCACTGGAACCCCTTGCCCTTATTGGGTCCTGTTGGCTGGGGATCTGGAGGGTCCCACAGGACCTGCCCCAAAGCATGCTGTAGGCCTCGGGCTCACCCTGAGTACTTCCCTACTGGACTTCTACATGAATCCTATGGGTGATACTGAGCTCATTCTGCCAGTTGTCCATGCTCATGGTTGGGGTGTTGAGGCTTCATCCCTTTGTGAAGCAGAGGACTTGGATACCTCAAGAAGGGCCCAGGAATCTTCATTTAAGTGCACAGCAGCATTTGAGAAACACTGCATGGGTTGTCTCTTTCTACAGAGTGTTTCTTCTCCTCTTGCCCTTCCTCCCTCTCCCTTCCTTCTTCCCTCCTCCTCCTCCCTTTCTCCCCTCCTTGTTCAGGTTTATTGACATGTAGTTTACTTAACAGTAAAATTTACCCCTTCTTAAGTTTTGACAAGGGCTTACCATTGTGTGACCACCACCATAATCAAGATAGATAACAGTTCCATGATAGCAAAAGCTTCTGCAGCCCCTTTGTATGCAACCACTCCCAACCCCCACTCCTCCTATGCCTCTCAAAGTGCTGGGATTACAGGTGTGAGCCACTGTGGCTGGCCAGGATTTTTTTTTAAAGATGCCTTTTATCAGGTTAAGGAAGTTCCTCCTTTCTTTTTTTTTTTTTCTTTTTGAGTTGGAGTCTCACTCTGTCGTCCAGACTGGAGTTCTGCAGTGGCCGCTCCCGGCCACCACAGCCTCGACTGCTGGGCTCCAGCAATCCTTTCGCCTCAGCCTTCCAAGTAGCTGGAACTACAGGCACACGCTACCATGCCCGGCTAATTTTTTTGATTTATTGTAAAGATGAGGTCTCACCAAGTTGCCCAGGTAGGTCTCGAACCTGCGGGCTCAGGCAATCCACTCACCTCAGCCTCCCAAAGCGCAAGATTACAGGCTGAGTCACCGAACCTGGCTAGTTCCTCCTTTCTATTCCTAGTTTGCTGAGATATTGTGAACAGGCAATGCATTTTGTCAAATGCTGCCTCACTGAAATAATCACATAAAGGTTTTTCTTTTTCGGTTTGTTGCTTTGATACATTGCATTGATAGATTTTCAAATGTTGAACCAACCTTGCATTTCTAGGATAAACCTTACAAGATGTATTATCCTTTTTGTATCTGCTGAATTTGGTTTTTTTAAATTGATGGTTTTTTTAAAATTTACATGTTTACTTTTAATTTATTGTGTAATAAGTTATTTTAATGATTGGATCACAATACTAGAGAAATCCCCCATCTGAACTCAGTTCTGATGGCTCCAAAACCTCTGCCCACAGCCTTGATTCTTTACCATAGGGTCCCTTGATACCCACCCATGACCTGGGTCACTGTGAGAGGCTCTGTCCATTCAAGCTGTGTTTCCTGGCACAGTGCCCAACTGCCCTGCATTAATCACTGCTTCCTGTATAGGGAAACTTCTCCCACATGGCTGCTCCTAGAATTTCAGAGATATTACTATTTTATCTTTTTGTCTAGAAATGTAATATTTCCTACCTTAGGTTAGTTATGTACCATAGGAAAACCAGCAATATTCTAGTTGTATAAATGGGTTTTTAACCAAATCTTCATTGAGGAGTGGGAGAAGAAAGCTCATTTACTGTTTACCTATTAAAAATTCATATTTCTTAATATATTACCACCTGTATGCTTTGGCAGTTTTGTCCAATGTATATGGAAACAGATACATTTGCTTTTATTTTTAGCTAATTTTTTCTCAAGCATAATTTTCTGTCTTACAAAGGAAAAAGTACAAATACATGGGAAAGTAGTTTATAATCTACTCTTTATTTTTATTTATTTTTTTGAGTCACGGTCTCACTCTGTTGTACAGGTTGGAGTGGAGTGGCACAATCATGGCTCACTGCAGCTTCAGCCTCCTGGGCTCAGTCAGTCCTTCCACCTCAGCCTTCTGAGTAGCTGGGACTACAGGCATGTACCATTACAACTGGCTTTTTTTTTTTTTTGTAGAGACACGGTCTTGCTATGTTATCCAGGCTGATCTCCAACTCCTGGACTCAAGGAGTTCTCCTGCCTCAACCTTCCAAAGTGCTGGGATTATAGGTGTGAGCCACTGTGCCCAGCCTACTATTTCTATTATTCTTTTATGTCTGATAATTAGCATTATTTTTATTCAGTATTCTTCATTGATTTATAGGAAATCTAAATTATATGTAAAAATATATATAATAACACATGCATATATACACATATTATTTATATATATAACTCCAATAATATCATTTGTATTGTTTCCCCGAAAAATTGATGAACATTACCAAAAATGGAAATAAATTGTTCAGAACTAAAAGATCATATAAATATTTCATTTAAATAACATTAAAAATTACATATACTGTGGTAATACTACTATGTGGAAAGAAAATTTTATATACATGAAGAGTGAAATGAGGCTGGTCACAGCGGCTCACACCTGTAATCCCAGCACTTCCAGAGGCTGACACAGGAGGATTGCTTGAGGCTTCTTCTTTTTTCCATTTTTTTTTTTTTTTTTTTTTTTTTAGTCAGAGTCTCGGTCACCCAGGCTAGAGTGCAGTGGCATGCTCACTGCCACCACAGTCTTGGCCTGCTGTGCTCAGGAGATCCTTCTACCTCAGCCTTCCAAGTAGCTGGAACTACAGGGGTATGCCACCACACCTAGCTAATTTTTTTATTTACTGTAGAGACAAGGTCTCGCCAAGTTGCCCAGGCTGATCTCAAATCCCTGGACTCAGGCAATCCTCTTGCCTTCACCTCCCCAAGTGTTGGGATTATAGGTGTGAGTCACTGTATCTGGCTGAGGCTTCTCCTTCTGAAGACAAATGTCACCTTTGCAGACTGGTGTGTTTAGGACAGGATGCTTCCAGAAATAAAATGCAGCTTCACTCAGGTGAACAGACAAAGCACCTTCCAGGTAGGAGGGTTAGGGACAGATACAGGAGAGGGAGGCAAGGGAGGAAGGCAGGGGATGGGGGAAAGGTGGGGAAGCTCGGTAGCGGACTTAGAAAAGCAGGACAGGCTTGTTAGAGCCAGTACAAGCTGCTCTTGACTGTTCAGAAAGAGTGCAGATGTCATACAAAACACACTTATTTATTTATGAGTTGGAGGTCTTGCTCTGTTGCCTAGAGTGCAGTGGTGTGATCATAGCTCACTATAGTCTCTAACTCTTGGCCTCAAGAGTAGATGGGACTACTGGCACATGCCACCACATCCAGCTAAATGTTTTATTTTTGGTAGAAACAAGGTCTTGCTATGTTGCCAAGGCTAGTCTTGAATTCCTGGGCTCAAGTGATCCTCCCACCTCTGCCTCCCACAGCACTAGGATTACAGGGGTAAGGCATCAGGCCCAACCTTACCACACACTTTAAAAGTAAAGATGAGCATTTTAAAGTGAACATGTAGGTTAGGCACAATGGCTCAAGCCTGTAATCCCAGCACTTTTCGAGGCCAAGGTGAGAGGATTGCCTGAGCCCAGGGATTCGAGACCAGCCTGGGCAACTTGGCAAGACCTCATCTCTACAATAAATCAAAAACTCACCTGGGCATGGTAGCATGTGCCTACAGTTCCAGCTACTTGGAAGGCTGAGGTGGAAGGATCACCTGAGCCCAGCAGGTCGAGGCTACAGTGACTGTGAGCATACCACTACACTCCAGCCTGGGCGACAGAATGAGACTCTAACTCAACAAATAAAAATAAAAATAAAAAATAAAGTGAACATGTTATGGCATTTAATAATTCACTATATTGTGCTGCATCACCACCTTCTACTTCCAGGGACCCTGTGTCCATCCAGTAGTTGCTCCCTATCCCCCTCCCCTTAGTCCCTGGCCAGCACCAGTCTGCTTTTTGGCTTATTTATCTATCTATCTATTTATTTATTTATTTATTTATTTGAGTCTTAACTCTGTCACCCAGGCTGGAGTACAGTGGAACAATCATGGCTCACTGTAGCCTTGACATCTTGGACTCAGGTGATCCTTCCACCTCAGCCTCTCGAGTAGCTGGGACTACAGGAGTGCGCCACTATGTTCATCTATTTTTATTTTTTACTTTTTCTGTAGAGACTAGATCTCACATGCTGCCTAGGCTTGTCTTGAACTCCTAGGCACAAGCAATTCTCTTGCCTTGGCCTCCCAAAGTGCTGGGATTATAGGCATGAGTCACTGCACCCAGCCTGCTTTTTGGTATTTAACTCAACGTAAGACAAGTTTATTAAAAGTCTGAGGCTCAAAGATGAATATGTCTGTAAATTATATTTAATTAATATTTGCACCATCAAGAGACTCTCTTATGTTCTGAAGACATACAATTATGTCTGCTCATTCACTAAAATAGAATTAAGCAGGTGGATGGGTTGAAACAGATTACTGAAGTATTTACTCATTGTGTGGCTACAAGTGTAGACAGTGGCATTGCATTGGACTTTTCTCTTTTCTTATTCCTTTTTTAGAAGGTTAAAATTATATCTCTTTTTGTCCCTGCTATTATGTATCACTCAATGAACAGTCTGACAGGCTTTGTTCTAGGAGCCTTGAGTATTTTTATTATATTTTGATAGACACAGTACTTGGGGAGTAAATAAGTTAAGTACAGTGAACTTGAATTATACCTTTTGATCCTAACACTGATGCTAATGTCAACAATGTTAGCTTCTCATGAACCAAAATGTAAGACAACACAGAGAAGAAGGAGCACAGCAACTAAGAAAAGAGCAAACAAATGGACAGGAAATAACAAAAACATCGCAAAGAATAAAGCAAAGTAGTTCAATAAATAAGTTTGTGAAAAAAGAATTCCTCTTAAAATACGAATTTGAACCTGGTTATGAAAGGCTTTGACTTGAGAATTTCTCTAGGTAGCCCTAACTGTGTTAGAGGGTTTAACATGGTTTTGGAATAACTTTGATTTTAGGGAGAAAAAAAATGACTCACAGTGAGACAAAGTTTCTCTCTGGACCCAGTGTCCAGATGTTACAGGCTGTCACTGAGGGATGGACAGGAGGCCCTGTTCAGTTGCAGAGGTCAGGTGGGTGCAGCACCTCAATGCCTAATGCATGCATCTAGGGTCAAGTGGCCCCGAATTAGGGGGTCCTAAAGGGATGCCCATGTCCTAAGCAAAAGGGATGTAGGATGCTCCTA